GACAGAGAGCACATGAGAGGGGGGAGGGTCAGAGGGAGAAGCAGGCTCCCTGCCGAGCAGGGAGCCCGATGCGGGACTCGATCCTGGGACTCCAGCATCATGACCTGAGCCGAAGGCAGTCGCTTAACCAACTGAGCCACCCAGGCGCCCCCGTATCTTTTTTAACGAGAAGTTATGTCTATTTGGCATGATCCTCATGAAGGGTCGCAGATGAGCCAGTCAGCAACTTTACATAAAGTGAATGGGCCTTGACCTGCTTCCCCCGTGCCGGAGACCATAGGGAGTGGTGGAGACCAGCTGCCCTGTCTGAAGGGGACGCAAGCAGGAGGAGTGGGGGAGGGAGAAGCAGGCTTCCCGCCGAGCAAGGAGCCTAATGCGGGTCATGATCCCAGGACCCTGGGACCATGACCTGAGCCGAAGGCAGACGCTTAATGACTGAGCCACCCAGGCGCCCTGGGCATCCAGATTTTTATGTGGAGATTGTAGTAACTTCATTTTTGAGGTTACCTGTATTCTACAATTCACCCATTTAAAGTGTACAATTTAGTAGATTTTAGTTCAGTGCTGTGCAACCATCACTACAATTTTCGAACAGTTTCGTCACCCCGAAGAGAAACCCCACGTCCATTAGCAGTTATTCCCTATTTCCCCAGGTCCCCCAGACCCTGGCAACCACGAATCTGCTTCTTGCCTCTATGATCCACCTATTTGGCACATTTCCTATAAATGGAATCATACAGTATGTGACCTCTTCTGGTTCCTTCTGGTTTCACTTCATATAATGTCTCAAGGTTCATTCCTGTTGTAGCATGAATCCGTTCTTACTCCCCTTTTTATGGCTGAGTAAATTCCATTCTGTGGATAGACCACATTTGTTTTCCATTCATTCCCTGATACGCATCTGAGTTATTTCCAGTCTTTGGCTATTATCAATAACACTGTGAAAGCTGTCTCATTTTAAAATGTTGGCAGCTACTTAGATAAGGTACTTAGGAGTAGTCAAGCTCATAGACACAAAGTAGAATGGTTCATGGGGGGCCAGGGAGTGGGTGGGGTGGGGAAGGGAATGGGAAGTTAGTGTTTAATAGGAACGGAGTTTGGGAAGATGAGAAAGTTCTGGAGCTGGATGGTGGTAAGGGCTGCACAACAGTGAATATAATTAATGCCACTGAACTATACACTTAAACATGACTAAAACGGGGGGCATCTGAGTGGCTCAGTCAGGTGTCCGACTGTTGGATTCAGCTCAGGTTGTGATCTCGGGATCCTGGGATCAGGCCAGTGTCAGGCTCTGTCCTGAGCATGAGTCTGCTGGACTCTCTCTCTCCCTCTCCTTCTGCCCCTCCCTGTCTCTCTCTTGCTCTCTCTCAAATCTTTAAAAAAAAAAAAAAAAAGACTAAAACTGTAAACTTTATATTTTACCACAGTTAGGAAAGTGAGAAATGACACCTAACTACTCCATTTCAGGCACCAGATTTCAGAAAACCGGGCACGCATGGCATCCATCCAGCTGGGCCACCTCCACCAGCAGCAGGGGGTTGTGGTGCCTGGAGTCATCCCCTCTGTGTAGTGCTGAACCAGACTCCCCAGCACTGGGTATGACCCACGTGCGCGTCTTTGCTGCGGTGATGGCACAGGCGGGGCACCTCAACTTCAGTGTCCAGGGTGCGGGAAGGGCTGGGTTTCTCTCCAGCCCCATTTAGTTATTGCCAAGAGACAAGGGAAGAGGGTCGACATGAAAGTCCGTTACAGATCAGATGGTTTAAAATACTAGGATTGGGGGGTGCCTGGGTGGCTCAGTCGGTTAAGCGTCTGCCTTCGGCTCAGATCATGGTCCCAGGGTCCTGGGATCGAGCCCGGCATTGGGCTCCCTGCTGAGCAGGGAGACTCCTCCTGCCTCTCCCTGCTTATGCTCTCTCTCTGTCAAATAGATGAAATCTTTAAAAAAACAAAATACGAGGATTGTTTTGTAAGACCTTATTTTTTAGAACAGGTTTAGGCTCTCAGCAAAACAGAGGAAAGTACGGAGATTTCCCATACACCCTCTGGCCCCACATGCGCAGCCTCCCCTACTGTCACCACCACCAGAGCGGGACACTTGTTCCAACTGATGAACCTGTACTGATACGTCATCATCACCCAAAGTCCACAGTTTACATCAGGGTTCGCTCTGGGTGGTGTACGTTCTGTGGGTTTGGACAGATCTATCATGACATTATAACATCATAGAGTAGTTTTACTGCTGAGGATTTGGGTTACGTGCGCAGTAACCCAATACATTCATTGGTGAATGACCAATGGGTCATGGTCATATCCAACCCATGGTTGGATAGTTCATAGCACGTGGAGCATCCTGATTGTTGCACACAGTTCTATCTACTTCATTGGCTTTGGGACGTGGGCTGTTGCCACTGAGGTCAGCTGCTTTGGCCACACATGGGATGGGGTTAGTGGGTGCCACCCTTTACAAGAGACAGGGAACAGGCCGAAGGGCACTGGAGCCTAGCAGGGTTTGACCATGTGTGTCAGCAGAGGGAGGGTGACCCAGAGGTGTCAGACACTGCTTTCACAAATGATCTCATGGTGCCCTCGGAACAGACTGGCCAGGTAGCACCAGGTAAGCAGACTGGCGAGGCTCAGCGATGTGCCCGGGTCCTGTCACTTTGGAACCCAGTGTGGGCTCACTGGTTTGCTCTGCACCTGGTGTTCCTCCCAGGCTCCGTACTTACCTCGGGCCAGTCCCGGATCTCATCACTGTGAGTCTCAGCCCCAAGGAGGTGAATTTCCCACCCTGGGACCTGGGGGACTTGGCTCACATGGGGCTGGACGCAGATGGCCTGTCATTCTCTTGGAAGCCCACACTGTCAGTCTTCCTTCCTGTCCTGTGGGGGAGGGGGGGGGCTTGCTGCCCTCCCCTCAGACCTCAGAGGCTGTCCCTGTCCCCCTAAAGTAGGCCCCCTCCTCCCATTATTATCTGTGCCACCTCTTCTCTGCAGCCCTGTGTCAATCTGTAAGTATTCATGCATATTTATATCTGGCTGTCCCACCAACCTAAGCTCAAGGAGGAGAGCATAACCTTTTTGGTTAATGTTGTATTTAGATTGTCAAACAAATGCTCTTTCAAGTAATCAATGGATCGAATGTATGTGGTGGGACTTGGGTAGGATGGAGGTTATGCAAATCCGTAGATGAAAAACAAGCCTGCCACGGGGCCTCCGGTACGTGACACGTGTTCTCTGGGTGTTGACCTTCCTCTTTTCTAAAGTGAGCCGGAGAAGTCGAACGAGACCCGCCATCCCAGCCTGTGTGCACACCATCAGCGAGGCCTCGCTGTCACTTCCTTGACTTTGCCTCCCCCAGCCTTTGCTTGAAGCGCGTCACCCGTTTTCAGCAGTGTGCAGTCATGGCGACCTCAGCTCCACAGTCTGCCATCACCCTTCAGATGTTCTGCCTGGCCTGTTCTGAAGATCACCCACATCTCAGGGCTGCCGCAACAGGGGGAAGGCCCCACCCCAGAGGGTGACACCTTCAAGCTCCAAGAAGGAACATGCGGTTCGCCTCACCAGCTGTCAACAGGCATGGCTTGCTGGCTGGCTTGGGGAATCCCCTCTGTGCCCTGGACCCTACATGGTCCAATGTAGTTGAAGCAGCAGTGAGAGCTGTGGTCACAGCGCTGTCTCCCACCTACTGGACGAAACTTATAACTGCATTTACATCCTGTGTTTTGAGCCCTCCCGCCCCCGGCAGGGGAGGGGTGCTGAGCCACTTGATGCTTCCTTTTGGAATTTTCATGCCCCAGCAGCTGCCACCCCAACCCGAGTCCCTGAAACAAAGCCCTCTTCTTTTGGAACCCATCTGTGAAAACAATGGCCTTTATTTAAGAAATAATTTTTTTGTAACACAAGAACGGATCACTGTGACACTTCCCCGTGCCCCCAGACGGGGCTGAGAAATGGCGGGGTCAGAGCCCAGCAAAGTCTCCTTTGTGCTGCTCCAGCCACTGGTCCAGTGTCCTGGCCTTGGGGTTGAGCCTCAGGGTCAGTTCAATGTCACGGTCAGGTTTCAGGGCATAGAAACGGAACATATTGGCCAGGTCCCGGGCGCCAGGGAAGCCATACTTCTCATAGTCCTCCGGGGTCGTCTAGAAACAGAGGGGAGTCTGTTGGGTCTGTCAGCATCTCTGTCACCCCAGCTGTGGGCAACCCAGTCCCGACCCAAGTCCTTTCCAGTAAGTTCATCTGAAAAAAGTTCAAAAACCACTGTTTTAAGTCAACTTAAATCCTGTTCTTTCAAGGGGCGCCTGGCTGGTTTAGTCAGAAGAGTGTGCGACCCTTGATGTTGGGGTCATGAGTGAGAGCCCCACATTGGGTGTAGATATTACTAAAAAAAAAAAATCATAAATCCTTTTGAGTTCTTTTGAGATCATGAGATGGAAACTTCTCAGCCCTTTCCAAACCAGAACTCTGCAAACATCACTTTCTTACTCAAAAACCGAAGCTGTTCTCCTTTCCTGACCAAACTGAATGTAAACTCAGCTCCTGAAATCGTCCACAGCTGCATCAGACCTTTCTTTGTTGAGACGTAATGCACGGCCATTTAGAGCATGTTTTCTAGAGCACCTCCTTGCGCTAAGGAAGCACTTAACATCAATTATTCCGTTCAATCCTAACAACCAGGGAAGGAGATACTATTCATGCAACCATTTTATAGATGAGGATACTGAGGCAGAGAGGGTCTGGGACTGTGCCTCAAGGTCACACGCTGGTGGGTGTTAAGGGCTGGGAGCAGGATCCGAGTCTGGGGAGTCTGACCCACCTGAAACACGCCCTGCCATGGCGTCCCCATCATTGCTTTGCTCAAGTCTGGGGGCTCTGGGGGTGGTTTTTATCTTTCAATGACCTGGGAGTTTCCCAGGTTTTCTTTAATAAGTCAGTCTCACTACCATAATGGGAAGAACCAATAAGAAACAAGGCACCTGGGGTTCTGAACAGGAAGACTGAGGGTCAGCGGGGAGAGGGGGCCAGAGGGCCTCCCGCCCATCCAGCCAGGCCAAGAGGAGACGGGTGGGGCCCATCTCTCTGGTCTCCTTCCCCTTCCCTCCCTCAAGTCACACCCCAGAGAAGCCCAGCACCCCTGTGTGTTCATGCCTTGCCTTGGACCCTCATATCCCCTCTTCCTGGAAACTTCCTCACTAGTTAGTCAACTGCCTAAGCCAGACCTGGCTCAGCAGCCACACCTGGCTCCCAAGTACAGCATGACAAAGGTTCACAGTGATGAATTCAGATTTACCCTGCCCGGAGTGAGGGGGCCGCCCTAGATACTGCTTCCCTACCACCCATAAAGCCCCCACTGGGGGGTGAGAGTGACCAGAACAGGCTGCCAGAGCCCCCTAGTGGGAGCTGGGATGGCACCAATCCGGGGCCCAGGACCGCGGGAGCCCACCTTGGCATTGCGCACAGCCTTCCCAGTGTGCTTGGAGAGCAGGGCGGCGTACTCCTCTGCTGTGTGCTTGCAGGTGCTGAGCCCAACGTTCCGGCTGACGTATTCTTCCGGCATCTTCAGCAGGCTGAGCACCACGGGACCCAGGTCGGTCACAGATATGCCATCCATGGGCACATCACCCATGGGCAAGCCTGAGGGGGGAGGGGAGGTGTGTGCTAGCACATGTTCCTGCCATGCCCACCGCCGGGACACGGGCACAGGTCAGCACCCCCAGTGTCTGTGGTGGACGGTTCACTCAGGAAACAGGATGCGATCCGAGCTCTGCCACCTTGGCCCCTGTTTACGCCCTGAGCCCTGGTTGCTCCATTTACAGAGTGGGGCGAACGCTGGGCCTGCCCACCCTCCCGGGGCTGAGAGAGGAACAGGAAGGAAATGAAGGGGCTGCTCCCGAGCCACTGGCCCCCGTGCACTCTGTGGTATCTGGGATTCCTGACCTGGAAAGCCAACTATGCTAACAGGAATGCCGGATGCCGAGGCCAGGGACTGGCCCAGAGTGGCACGTGGCAGGTGCTCCCTAAATGTGTGGAGTCGGTGGGTGACTCTACCTGCCAAGGTGGTCTGGTGGCTGGGGAGGCAGAGCAGGGGCACTTGGGTCCTGCCGCTTTCCGCGCCCATGAGAAGGGTCCACCACAGCTGCCCATTCAGGTCACCCAGAGACTTTGTGGGGACAGAGCTCAGCTAGAGTCCGAACACAAGAGGTATCCCCGACCAGCTCTGCAAACTATAAAAGGGCGATGACAGTGTGCCAACACCAGGCCCAGACTGCTCACCGTCCCTGCTGTTCACGCACAGGGGAAGGGTGGCCGGCTGAGGACCCTGGTCAACCACAGGACACGAGCTGCCTAAGGCTCCCTGTAGCCCATTTACAGACGGAGAAGAAAGTGCTTTCCTACTCTGTGACACCTACCACTGGACCTGATCCTCCAAGTCCTCTCCTTACTCCCGAAGGAGAAGTAACAAGTGTGCTCATCTCTGGGACGAAGCATCGCATCACTGCCTCCTGGCAGATTTTCTCATCGCCCCTCCAAGAGTCAGTCACGTCCATTCCACAGAGCAGGAAGCAGAGGCCCAGGGAGGTTACATGCTTTGTGCAAAGTCACAGGCCTAACATGAGGGAACCAGGGCTTGGACCCGGAACCATCTAAGGACAAGCCCATTTTCTACAACACCCACAGCTCCCCTCAGTGAGAGCGGACGCTCAGGAAGGAGTAGGGCACTCACTCAGCAAGTAGCTCTTTCCATCGGGGGCTTTCTGGGGCAGGAAGTTGGAGAGGAGATTCTCAAAATAGCAGGACAGCCGCACACTGGTCATGGGAACTCCGATGTCCCGGAAATATTCCTCTACCTCCCCTTTGCCATCAAAGTGGCCTGCTGCCAGTCTCCCACCCGTCAGCTTCTTGATGTTCTCCAGGCCGCTGTAGACCACGTAGTGAAGGCCCAGGCGCTTGGCCAAATCGGCCAGCAGCTTTCCCTGGTGAGAAAGAAAGGAGAAGCCACAAAGCTAAGAGGGAGGATGTGTGTCAGAGCCCTGGCTCTCCCACCCCCATTGCCACTGTGCCTGATGCTAAGAGGCTGACACCACTTCACCCTCTGATAAGGCTCCCTGTTCTGGAATGATGCTCGCACGTGGTACCACGCCCTCACACACCACTGTGAACCTTCTGTCTTAGCGTCACTTCTCCAGATCACCCGGGTGGTTGTACTTCCCGATATGCTCAACTGCGGCCCTCCCACGTGCACTGTGACGGGTGGGGGTAGGTCTTCTGCTTGGGAGAGGGCCGCACGGAGCTCTCCCACCTCTGCCTGCTCCATGCAAAGCCATGCTCCTTGAAGGGCCCCAGCAGGCCGCTAAAGAGGTGGTACAGCTCAGGGATGAAGCACAAACACTGCTTGGGGGCCACACCTGCTCTGCAATGCACTAGCCTCGAGATCCTGGACCAGCGACCTAACCTTCTGGCAGCGGTTAAACTGGGACAGCCACACCACCTGCCACATAAGAATGTGTAGGGGATTGAACGGTGGCCTCCAAAAAGATATGTGCACATCCTAACCCCCAGAACCTGTGAATGTGACCTTATTTGGGAAAAAAAATCTGCAGATATAGTTAAGGAACTTGAGATCATCCCAGGTGGGCCCTCAATCTGAGGACAAGGGTCCCTGTAAGAGACTGAAGAGGAGACATGGAGAGGAGAAGGCCACATGAAGGTAGAGACTGGGTGGATGTGGCCACGAGGAGAGCCAGCAGCCACCAGAAGCTGGAAGATGCAAGGAGTGGAATCGCCCTTAGAGCCTCCTTCTGAAGCCTCCTTGATTTTGGACTTCTGGCCCCCAGACCGGAGAAGAGTCAGTTCCTGTTGTTTTAAGCCACTCGGCTTGTAATGGCGGCCACGGGATGTGAACACAGGCAGTTGGGATAATGAGCCAAGACTGCCATCCATCAGAAAAGCTGTCCTCTCCACTTTGTGGGATGGGCTTCCATGTAAGATGTATTCAAAGACAATGTCAAGGCTAAAAACAAGTCTGGAGACCAGTGGTCCAGTCCAATCTCCCTTTATTTTACGAAGGCCCTTTTTCCTAACAAAGCCCAGGGCAGGGAAGGCCCACGTCCAAAGCAGGGCTATGGCTGGCTGTGGATGACCCAGGGCTGAAAGCTAATGTGCTGGCCAGTCAGCAGGTGCCTCTCCTCTGCCATCACATTCCACAGATCCCTGAGTACCTGTGTGTGACGGGCTCTGTGCAAGTGTCCCCATCTTCAGTGGGATAGAACAATGGCCACGTCTCACATTATCTGTTTCCTATCCCTCCCCGTGCTGCCTGGGCTCAATAACCAACTAACTAGAGAGAATGTGCATGGAAAACAGAATAAACCGAAACATACAACACGTCAAAGGGGACACGGGGACTTTCTGCGCTGATGGAAATGTGTTCTGATTAGATTGGTAATATGTGGGTATATTTATATTCAAATTTTATCCAACAGTACAATTAAAATGTGTGCATCTTATTATCACAAAATGATAGGTCAACAGAGTTGGTTTTTTGGAAAGTGTAAAAAGTTACTGGATGACAAAGTAGATTATCAGCTGGGGGCTGGGGGAGGGAGGAACCGGGAGTGACTGCTAATAGGTACGGGTTTCTTTGCAGGGTGATAAGATGTTCTGGAATTAGGTGGTGGTGATGGCTGCACAACTTTGAGAGTATACACTGAATTATACACTGAAAGGGCAAACTATGGTGTCTGAATGACATCTAAGCAAAAGTCACTGGAAGAGGAAGCAGCTGCCTCCCGCACTCATTAAAGTCCAGGAGGACTGCATGGAAGAGGAGGGAAAAGGCCTGCAGTGGACAGTGGTCACAGGCAGGGTCAGCCCCTCTCTAGCAAGTTGGAGCTGCCTCCCAGGGAGCCCCTTGTAAGATGCCCTGCTCCTAGGCCAGCCTCCCCACATCTTCCCACCTGCCCTCACCTGCTTGACCTCCTGCTCCTGGCTGCAGTTTTCCCAGTAGTTGGTCACAATGAAGGCAGCATGGGCCCCACTCAGGGCCAGCTCCATGCTGGCTTCGTCATCCTGGTCTCCCCGGACCACCTCTGCACCCTGCAGCCTCAGCTCCTTTGCTGCCTTCTGCCCAGGGTCCCGTGTTACCACTCGAACCCTGAACGTCCCATCTTCCAGGAGCGTCCGGGCCACTGAGCCTCCCTGAGCACCTGTGAAGAGACAGAAAGACCTGCAGGGTGGGACCTGCCTGGGGGTCCTGCTCAGGGGAAGCCCCAAAGGGAACGCTCCACACCAGCCAGACACCCAGACACTTTTCACCTGTGATCCTCACTGAACGCCTTACACCATTTAAAAAATAATAGCTTTATTGAGATAGAATTCACCCACCTTTTAAAGGGTAGATAATTTGTATTTATTTAAAAAGTATTTTGGAAAATCTGTATACTAGTTGGCTGATTTTGCCCAGAGTAAACAAATACTTATACTGGGCAGCTGAGACTTCTCCCACTGTGCACGCATCATACTTGCCTCGAATTTCACCAGTAAGATTCACTGCTTCAGGTCAAATAAATACATAAAGCATACAGTGCAGTGGTTTTTTGTATATTCAGAGCATGCAACCATCATCACAGTCAATTTTAGAACATTTCATTCCTCCCACCCCCCAAGAAAACCCATGCCCATCAGCACTCACTCCCTATCGCCCTCCCTCTCAGCCCTGGCAACCACTCATCTACTTTCTGTCTCTATCCATCTGCCTATTCGGGATGTTTCCCACAAATGGGATGATACAATATATAGCCTGCTATGTCCGGCTTCTTTCACTTAGCATGTTTTCAAAGTTCCTCCATGTTTTAACAGGCATCACACCTTTTATCAAATGTTTGAAATGTGGGACACCTGAGTGGTTCAGTCGGTTAAGTGGCTGCCTTTGACTCAGGTCATGATTCCGGGGTCCTGGATGCATCGGGCTCCTTGCTCAGTGGGGAGCCTGCTTCTCCCTCTCCCTCTGCCTGCCGCTCCCCCTGCTTGTGCTCTCTCTCTCTCTGATAAATAAATAAATAAAATCTTTTAAAAAATGTTTAAAATGTATTATGGGGCAGCTGGCTGCTTGGGCGGTAGAACGAGCAACCTTAGGGTCATGAGTTTACTTGTACAAAATAAATAAGTAAAATGTATTACAATATTTAACACATACACAAAGGGATGTCAACACCCATGTACCCACCCCTCAGCTTAAGAAATACAGTATTACCTACCATCTTCTTCCTTTTTTTTTTTTTTTTTAAAGACTGAGGGGCCCCCAGGCTGTCCCAGTCAAAAGAGCATGCAACTCTTGATCTCGGGGTCGTGAATTTGAGCCCCACTTTGGGTGCTTAAACTTAAAAATTGACTTAAAAATTAAAAAAAAAAAACACCTTTAGAATAGATTTAAAAATGACTGCCTTCAGCTCAGGGCATGATCCCGGGGTCCTGGGATCGAGTCCCACACCCGCTTCTCTCTCTCCCTCTCTCTCTGACTCTCATGAATAAATAAATAAAACATTAAAAAAAAAAAAATGACTGAGAAGGGCGCATGGGTGGCTCAGTCATTAAGCATCTGCCTTCGGCTCTGGTCATGATCCCAGGGTCCTAGGATCAAGCCCCGCATGGGGCTCCCTGCTCAGCGGGACCCCTGCTTCTCCTCTCCCACTCCCCCTCCCCCTGCTTGTGTTCCCTCTCTCGCTGTCTGTCAAATAAATAAAATAACATCTTTAAAAAAAATAAAAATAAAAATGACTGAGAAAATGACAAAAAGTAAAATCATTAAAAGGAATAAAATAAAAATCATCCATAAATATATGTGTAAGAAAACTGGCTGTAGCACTATTTGCAATAGTGGAAAT